TCGGAGCACGGAATCCCAAGGTTGAGGTTCGATTCCTCCTGGGGACTCAGAATTTTTTCTTTGCCCCACGCTCGTGAAAAGACGAAAAATATCTTTCTTTTATTGAATAATGTTCATACTATCTAGATAGGAGCATTCTGGTAACATCGGATATCAAACATTGAGAAACTGAATCATAATTTTATATTTCCTGGCGTTAATTTTCATTCCTTCATTGCTTGTTTGCGGGCATTTTCATTCTCTTCCAACAACGTCTGCTTTAGCAATAACATAGGGATTAACCGAGGGAATTAAGCTCTCTTGTTGAGCTCCTCCCCCAGCCACCGAAAGCCGTAGTGGCTAAGATTCCATCTTTTTCGGTAGCCTCTTGATCTGCGTGTAGTTAGTCATAGCCTATGCAAGGAAAACAGGTTGTCTACTGGAGAGGGTGTTAGCTGTTATGGACGTGGGTGGCCGATCGTACCCACTCCCTATTTACCTGCGAAACGGGAGACGAGTATGCGGCACATTATTACGTAATAGAAATTCTAATACGCCAAACGTGATCCCCGCGTGCTTCAAGACGAGAGTCACGTTTGCATTAGTAGTCTTCCTCCACGAGTCACATGTCAGTTTACAGTTCCAACTGACAAAAAGGACAAAGCAAACCATCGTGGCCTTAACCGGACGCTATGTCCCTATATTATTTCCGCCTCTCATTTTAACTCACGGCTGTTTGAGCAGTTTTGCAGATTTTGCCGGTTTATCTTTTTATGTTACCTTCTGACTAGCATAAAGTTTTTGCATAGGGCATGAGTCACACTTTTAAGATAATGGTCTTTGCTGTTTTTATACATCTTCTCATCAGCGGTAGCAAATGATTTTTCGATCAGTTAATGTTAGTGTTAATTTTCTTGTATCAGGGAATTTAATTATTAAATGATGCCAGCCATCTTTCATGACCAGGTCCAAAAAGAATTAGAGCGTCCTATTACAGACTTTGTGTTGCCGCCAGAATTATTTGGCGGCAACACAAATATTTGACGTTATTAATTTTTTTGCCTTTGTCGCTTTTTCATTAAGTTCTCTTTGTTTTTACATTACTTTCATCGATATTCTACTGCTTTTTTTCATATTTTTTCTTTGTTTGTGTCAGTCGTAAAGTGTCTTTGGTTGTCCTTTATTTTGTGTTTCTCGTTTGCCAATGTTTTTCGTATAGCTGTGGTAACTTGTTATTTTTCATTTTATTTTAGCAGCCGCTTGAAATATTCATCTCGCTCCAATTGTTACCTTTACTTCAATACCTCTGTTTATTTCGTTTGTTGAAGAATAGTGAAGAGTGTGTATTGGACAAGTACTAGCCCCAATACTTTTTTTTGAACAAAATTTAATTTCTCTGGGAAATATCTTGAGTTTACAATGATAGCAAGTTCTATTGTGGACAACTAGTATTTCTCTAAAATTAGACTGAATAACCACGGTTATGTAAAAGAGAATGACTACAAAATGTTTGCCTGAATTTTTTTTGTTTCTATATAGTCATGTCAAACAGTTTATTTCTTCGTATTTGACTTGTGCTGGTCTTCAATTTCTTTCCACTGTTCATCAGGTAGATCTATTGGAAAAAGTTCAGTTACATGATTAGTCAATGTTTACTTGAGTCAGGGTAATTTAGTATTATCAACTGAGTTGATAACATAAATTGACCACCGTGAAGAGTTTCAAAGCTGATGTGTCGAGCGTTAGCCTTTCGTCAGGTTGATTGGAGGAATTGTGGGTTGTGTGTGTGTGTTTATTTGGAGAAAACGGAGCTACGCTATTGTTTGGAATATGGTGACGAGAAAACAAGAAAAAATTAGTAGAATGAAAAGGGCTCGTTGATACCGCGGGGATTAATCGATTTGAAAGATAAATTTTTGGTCCAGAGACAATATTGTTGTTCTTTCAAATCAGCACTCTTTCATTCAGCTCTGCGAATTTGAAAAATGACTACTATTAATGTTAAAAAAAACAAAACAAAACAAAACATTTAAGAAGCAATCTGTTCAAAGGAAACTTTTCCAGTATTTAAGAGAAGAAGAACTACATTGTGCTTTTTCAGGCTGGGTGAACCATGCTATGGGAAATTATATTTTGAGCTAGCCTCCCGTTCCCTGGCCATCAAATAAGGAATGGAAATTTGTTTGCAATGTGATATTCAGGGAATTTCCGTCTCTGGCAGATTGTAAAATCATGTTTGGTCCAACATTTTTTTTTGAAGCAACCAGTGACTTAATTTAGGTTTGGAAAGGTTAAATTCTTTCACCTCTGAAATCATAACATTCAGTCTTTTATCTTTAATCTGCTACTTTTTTTTCTTTAATTTCATTTAGTTATGCCAATTCGTAGTCTAATTAAAGCATATCATATTAGTAGCTGATAATTTTTCGTTTTCTTATCACCTTTCTGGCAAGTGTTGTAGTCAATTTTTATGATGAAATTACTAATAAGTCATTCATGGGACTGAAATTGTGAAATACATTTAACAGTAACAGAGAACAGCCTTTAGAAACTTAGAAAATAATAGTTTTGAAGTTCAGTTGCAGGTGGAAGCCCAGAAAAAATAGGGATGCATTCTTACCATGAAGAACTTTGAAGATTATTCCAAATCCATGGATTTGCTTCTTCTCGAGATCTGACAGATCCAACTTGGTTGATCCCTCAATATATGGTACGGAGATAACGCTTGAAAGGAAGGTAACATCATCTGACGTAATTGGCTCCTTCATCTGGATTTCTTTCTGCTCTGTTGTCAATGCTGTTTCAAACTGTCAGAGAGACAAATTGTAGAAGTTAGCAAAGACTGATGTATAAATTTATAGGCTTACCAGAAAAGGTTTTTTTTTATCTAAATGATGCACTTTAGATGCGTATCTATTGCAATTTAAAGTTTCCCTTTTTAACTCCATTCAACATAGTACTGCTCAAAGAACAATGTGTGGGGCGAGTATGGTGTTGATAAACTTGAGGTATCGAGATCCTCAACTTCATTAAACTAATGCAAGCAAGGAAAAACAGAGAGAAGCAGATGAATCCACACTAGGATTCAAGCAAGCATAAAGACAATTATTTCTGCAAGAAGGGTGGAAAAAACTAACGAACTGGCATATATAGTTTGCATCGACTTGCATGTCTTACCCAGGAGAGATACTTTTCGACAAGCGCCTTACGCTGTTTTCTGCTCTTGCAAGGTAGAAGGACATCCTGGAGTATTTTGTCCAAATTCTGAAAGTCGTCTTTTGTGAAATAATCTGCGTAGGTAATAAAATAATAAAAAACAAATTTAAGATGGTTATTTTGACCACACAAGAATCTGGAGGAGTATATTTTTATTAAAGAGGAAAAATTAAGAAAGGAAAAAGAGTTTTATGGAGCTAAATCTGTTGTCTTTTATGAAAGGGAGGTCTGAAGTTTGAATTCTACTCAGTGAATTATTTTTTCAACTTTCCCTCGCTCCTTTTACAAATATAAAACACTTAAAAAAAACAGTGGTTCTCACCAATCAAATCAGCCTCGTCCGTTTGACCATAGAGATCAACAAATGAATGGCTTTCCTCATCTTCCTCTTCATCAGAGTCCACTTGATATTCTTCTTTAAACTCGTCCTTGACTACAATTTTTTTGATAAACTCTCCTTCGCGGATTTCTAGTCGATTAGTTTCTTTGTTAAATTCGACATGACAGCACTTGAAGAGAAACGGCGCTTCGGAGGTCCTGGTCGCCACCTCAGGAGGACGGTAGGTCTCGTCTACTTGCGTTAGTTGACTGGGACGCAGAATATACCTGAGAAATGGACACAGATGTTCCATTTCAGCCAGTTCAACTTGACGTCCAGTCTAAAATTAAGTGAACAAAATCACAATTACCGCAAATGAAGGAGGTAAATTAAGAAAAAATATTTTGGAACCAACAATGAGGCACCACACTGATCAAGTTGCAGCCTTAGGATAAAAAACGAATGAGATGAATAAAAGAATATTAAAAAAAAATGGATAGACAAAACAAGAAATAAATAAATCAACGAATTGATGAATATAGACACTTAATCCAGGTTGAATATTATGATTTTGGGAGGTTCCGCTCACGAGTTGTTTCGCTGGCGAGCAGTTCACTAGCGTCTTAGTTCGATTCGCTTTCGTCTCAAGAACGTTTTGCTAACTATGACAAACGTTTAATGATTCCATTGGCAGAACTTGATCGCCTTCTAATCGGCTGAAAGTCGTAAGGAGACTTAGGTCGTTTCAGTAAAAGCCGAAATCGATTTTATAAAGTCGATTCAAGACAAACTAAAGTCAATTCGATGCCCACAAGAAAGATGCCCAATGATGGCGAAAAATGCCTGAGTATGTTTAATGATGACAATGAATGCTGCCTAATGACAACAAAATTATGCCTCCACACCTTACAGAGCAACCTTTTCATTTGTCGTTACTTTTAAGAAAAAAAATGTAAGGAGACATTGGTGAAATAACTAAAAACGTTAGCGAAAGGACCTACCTGCAAACTAACCTGAGACGTTGTCAAAACGAGTGACTGAGACATTCAAGTTAGCAAACTGATCGTTGGCGAAAAGACTCGTACGCGAATTGACCGCAGTTCGGAACATGGAAAACTGTGTAACAAGGGCGTTCTACAAAATACTAGATCTATATTCCCACATGCAAAGGCTGGTTCTGAAATTAATGTTCACACCGGCGGGAGATCTCTTTCTTCACTGAATCATACTTGTGATTCAATGAATCATCACTTTTAGGGTCTCATTTAGCGCTTTCATAAATTTAAAGAGTGTTTTCTGATGCGTGTTTCTACAGAACCCGTTATAACTTTTGTTAGGATGAAATTTCAGTTACATGGGTTTAAATTGATACCTTCACCAATCTTTTCCCTTTCAGTTCAAATTTCTCGCTGTAAATTACGGAGGTTATGAGAAGCAATGCGTCCCTGTCAAAATTCTTCATCTTGTTGGGGTCAAGAATAGTCTCAGCCAGTATTTTGCGAAGGTCTGCATCTTCAATATAGTGCTGGCGAAGTTTTCCAAGTTTCAGATCTCCTTGTCCATCACCTAACTTAATGGTTCCCTCTAAGCATCCCTCAACACCTTCATGGCGCTCCTCAGCTCTAGATGACAAAAAAACAACAAACAGGCAAAAATATAAGTTCGTCTGATTGTGAAGACAGGAACACCTACAGTTCAGGGAAAGGGAGACGATTTTGATCTTTCTTATTTTCGTCAGATATATTGCGGTTGGTGTTTTTTGTGTGTGTGTGTGTTTTTTTTTTTTTTTACTGTAAGTCGACTTTAATTAGGCACTAATACATGCGTCCTAAATAATTCTTTTTTCCTTATTAGGTTGTCAAAGGAATAAAAGAAAGAAGTGAATATTCATTTCATTAATTAGCACCAATTAAGGGTCATACCTGGCCGACACGTCAATCTTGTTCTTGTCAATCTCTTGTTTCAGTACAAATACCTCTTCTTTTATCTTAGATTGGAAAGATTCGCTTAAGGCTTTCATTTCTTCTCCAGGTTTGACATACTTTTGTAGTTCAGCAAGGATTACCATTTCAAGTTTTGCATAGGGTCGCTTCCATACCGACCGATGTTTTTTTACAGCTAATGTCCCAGGCTGTATTTTCGCCGTTTCGCCGTGAAGCACTGGAAACGTTTTTTCGCTAAAAGTTTGCTTAGAAAACTTTCGTAGAGCGTCTGCTATCATCTGGAAAAAAAAATACTAATGATTTTACTAAATGTGAGCCTTACTTACACAAAGTAGCATTTCATAATACAACTGATTATGAACAGGGTACAACTAGAACGATTTGCCAATAGAGGCAAACACTAACGGCAAAATCTTTTGCAGAAGACAGCAGACTGAACCAAAGTAAAAACTTCTTAATGACTTTAAGTCTTCCAAACAGACCTGAATTTTTTCAATCAGTGAGAAAATCCCTTTCTAAAAATATAGGATTTAAGCATCACCTCAAGAACCCTGCTTTTTCGAAGCAGAAGTAACTAGCTGGCTTTTTTCCCCTTTTTCCGCGAGCAATCGAAGGCAAAAATATACTTCCTGAATAATAACCATATTGACGCACGCTCCTTCACTCGACAAAACGCTTTGAAACTTTTCAATGTTTCGATAGCTGAGGATGGAAGTGAAAAAAAAAGCTATCGTCTGTTAGACGACTCGGTGTATGAAGAAGTGGTTTAAAACACGGGATGTTAGGTTGAAGATTCACAAATATTACTGCAATTTGTGTGTTCACTATAACCCAAAAAACATTGGATATTCGAGATGACTTACTTTTAGCCTCGATCTTCGATAAAGCTCGTGCAGATCTAAAACGTGCTCCAAATTAGTGTAGTGTTGCTTTCAGAATGATGTGTACCTTGATTGACCGTATTTAAGTGATAAATATGCAGCACGTATTTGCATAGGACAGCAGTTTCCGTCTTTCAATTTTTTTTTCGAGAGTAAGGTGCGCAAAAGCTTTTCATCGAGGTAAAGGCATCCTTCGAAAACTGAAACATCCCCTCGCCTTTTCAGTTTTTTCCTCCACATGTAAAAATCACCCAGTGAGTGTGCTTTTAGAAATATAATCCGAATTGCATCATCTTTATTATGCTATCAATAATCCGTTGTCCAACCGACCAAACTCTCCACCAAATGTAGAAATGCAAATATTTATTTCTCTTTAGTCCTCAATTTTTCAAAATCCTAATAAAGGCATGAGATTGTTTTAAAACGTTTTCATTAGTATGCTGTGTCTATTTTTCATGAGTTTTACCAAAGCAAAACTAATTGCAGAATCCTAACGCGAGAAGATAAAAAGAAGCAAAAACTATACAAAAGTGGTCATCGTTACGGCCCAAGGTTAGTCGCTGCCATTTCTAAAGCGTTACGGAGCCACATTGTGGATTTCATTCTTTTTCTACTGTCGCTTAAAAAGTTTCATTGGTACACAGGAGAAAGAAACTAAATCGTTTCTGTCAAAGAAATAAAGTCGAGCAGGAGGGTCGAGTTGTACATTGAGACTATAACTATGCTCGTTATTGAACAATCCGAGATGTTCTGCAAAACTGAAAATATTTTCAGGCCACAGCAATTAAAATGAAAGTCAGTGTTGGCTGAAAATGTTCGAAAATAGAAGCATGCTCGCGTAGTTTTCTTCGAACTTTCTGAAGAATCAGTCTCATTTCATACAGAGTTCAGCCATGCCTTCGGTCATTTATCGATTCTTAGCAACACTTGAACAGACAAGAGCATCCCAATAGATAAGTTCAACATCATAAATTCCCGTACAGAGCATTCGCAACAAAGAGCCTTTCTTTGAAATACAGTACGGCGCTAATAATCAGTGAAACTTCAACGAAACTTTCTCTAAAAATGCAAAGTTTAAATGCGAAAATGTATGTGTTTTAAGAAACAGGTTCATATTTAAGACTTTGGAGACAATTTGATAATGCCCGTTTCTTTAATTCAGACTTTCAAATAGGTCTCTGTGTGTGTACTGGCTCCCTTGGTTTCAACTGTAGACGTAGTCCTCTGAGAGCCATGAGAGATGGATTAAGTAAAGCATTAAAGAATAAAAACACATGAACTCATACCTTAGAATCGAAGGTCACATAAATCGCTTGAGAAGTTTCCTTAGCAGAGAAACTAAAGTTGAGTTAGGCCAGCTCAGTCCAATGCAACATTATCTTGCGAAACAACCAGACGTATATAAACGTAGCATGAGCAGCAAAAAAATTTAGAGCAAACAACTCTCTTTCAGTTTCTGTGAATTACGTCTTTTGCTAGTTTGGGCCGATTACAAAGTTGGAATCGCGCTTGTCACGGTGGAATAACGAAATAGTATTTTTGCTACACCAAGACATCATTTTCGTCTTAGATATGATATATATGTATGCTAATTTTTATTGATATCCCATGACATTTACGCCTGTGTGACGTGGATACATCAAGGCTCGAAACCAAATCCAATATTTCGGTTTTTTACGCGGATGTTTTCCATGAATAAATCTATGTCAGTCATCTGGAAAAGGCGCGAGTAAATATTTTATGTTACTTTTTTTTCGAAGACACTTCAGGGTTACGTTATTTCTGCTAAATTAAGATTTTCCCTCCTTTCGGAACTGAGTTAAATTTCATCGTGCATTTCAGAGGATTTTTAAAACACGATGGCACCTCAATAATTAGGGAAAACCCTTTGTTATGAGACTTGTGTCGCATTAGGATGGACACAAATGTTGACAATATACATTCTTATTAACCTTTCTAATCTATCTTACCCGCACGCCCGAATTATGATAAAGTTTGCGAGGAACACCGTATCTCATCGCCTTCGCCGAGAGGAGGTGTTGTATTTCCAAGTTAAAAATCATTCTCCTAATAATTACTTTCGTATTTAAAGGAATACATTTAATTTCGACCACAAAAAATATTTCACTAAAAACATCTCCTCATACAAGTATGCTGCACTCAACATGTTGGGTGTTGAGGCCGCGATCATTGAGAGCACGAGAACGATATGCTGGTTCAGCACATTTAGCACCCCACCCCCCTCCCTCCAGAAATTTGTCGATAAATCGTGCTGTTACCCTAATATTTATGTACCCCTTGGAGGGGGAGGGAGAGGCATCATGGCGATAAAACAACATAACAGCCGCGGCTCGAACGTGGACCTATCAGGCTACGGATGTCAATTTGTGTCCCCTCAACTTGCCACCCTAACAATAATTACTTTTCTTCTTTATCCTCCGCCAGCACGTGATCTTCAGCACCCCTCCCCCCCCCCCGTTACCCCTTACCCCCTCCTTTGTTCTCCCAATTTGCGCCGGCCAGGTAATGAAATTACAAAGGCAATCTGTGCAGAATTGTGGCGCTGAAAACCACTGTTACCATGATAGGGACATTCCCCTTCAGCTTTGATCAGTGCCTGTCACGTGAATCTGCATTAGGGAAAGATCCTTGCCAGTAGATTTGATTCCGAAATAGGCAAGGTTTCATGAAAGCCTTTTCATCATAGCAAGGTGTCAATCTATTCAAGGATGGAAGGTTAAATAATTGACTGACATGCTTAAAGCTACGAGTGATATTTTCTTCATAGTTTCTCCCATACTCATGGCAAATTATGACAGCTACTTTCAATATGTTTATTTCGTATAACTGTTTCGATTGATTATGTACTCAAACCATTCAGAAAGGCCTAATTAGCCTGCATCCAGAGCCTTCTTACCTTTGGCCTTAGTGCTCATCAAATAAACACTAATCTTGTGGTCGATGAGGTAAGCTCCGACAATGTGATGCCTTACTTAAGTGAAGTGGAGTGAAGTGGAGGTTTGATGTCTCATGTAGCGAGAACAAAATGGTATTATAAAAGCATCGGAACATGAAGCTATGAGAGACTGCATAAAATAAGTCAATACACTTTTTTATTAAGATGACATAATTATTTTTTCTCCAAAAACAAATCTGACAGAATTGATAAAATAAGTTTAGAGACTCAATCCCTGTACCTGGTATTTGTCTGATTGAAAACCTCCTACCTCCATAACTACATCCACGGGTGTAACATGAACCTAGCCTTAATATTTGGTTCTTTTGGTTTTATCAACTGGGTTGATAACCCATATTAACCATCGTAAAGAGTTTCTAAGCTAACGTTTCGAGCGTTAGCCCTTCGTCAGAGTGTTAGCCCTTCGCTCTGACAAAGGGCTAACGCTCGAAACTTCAGCTCAGAAACTCTTTATGAGGATTTCTTCACGTTATCAACTCAGTTGATAGAACCAAATTATCTTATTATTCTCAGCCACCAATACAGCATCACTGTTTCTTTAGAAGCTTAAGGAGGTGTACACGAGTTTGCAAATCGGCCGATTCGAAGTACACCTTGCTCAAAATTCAGTTCCTTTCCCCTATAAACTTTCTAAATACAATTTATGAACAAATTTCACACGTGAGCAATCGTTTTTATTAACTTTTCTTCGTGCATGTCCCGAATAAACTGGAGAATATCCGATGGTATCATACCACATTCCAAACCTCAGTAGTGTTTAAAGCTCTTTATGTCTCCCTGTAAGGGATTTTTGGCGTTAAGAGTGCGTTTGTCAGTTATACACAGGAAAAGACTAACTGTTTTGTTCACAAAGTCCCCCTCAAAAGTGTTTAACGGTGAGCTGTTTGTAAACGTGTTGTTCTGCGCACTTCATAAACCAAATAGGACGATGATAAACAAAGTTACAACTAATTAGCTTAAATATACATAAACAGAAGTCTCTATTTGGCACGAAAAAAGAGGCTATTGTAAATGTGTTTGGCGTGTAAATGTGTTCGAAATTTGTTCGTGGACATTAACCGCTCAGAGAGCACTCAAAAATCTTTCCTTTCCTACAACGGTTTGGTCGCAAAATTTTAAATTTTAAACTAGTTTCCTTACTCAAAAGGATCAGATGAAAATAGGTATTCTGCTTTACAGATAAAAAGTTTTTCATTGTCATTAGACGCGTGTTTCGATTGAGTTTTTAAACCAAAGTAATCACAAAAAAGTCGAATCACAAAAAAGTCGAAACAAAGGAAAAAGTCGAAACAAAGGAAAATATCACAAGCAGTTAGTGAGAACTCAAAGCAAATACAATCCAACTGCCTGAAACGCGGGAAAACGCGAGTGACCCAGTCGTCTTTGGTCTTAGTTTTGAGTAGCGCAGGTTTTCTCCACTAATGAAGCCAAACCAAAGCAATCCCGGATTACCCTTGACACTAAAATGAGAACTGCTCTAAAAAATATTTTATGTCACATTTTACTAATATTGAAGAGATTCGCCTGCCATCCTACGCTTTTGGTGTTAAACCTTCGGCCACGCCCGTCCTTTCCTGTTTAATTTATAAACCTGGTGTCTGTTTATATACAAGCAAACTACTTTCTTAATATATTTAAAGCTGATCTCCTCTAAACTTAACGAGTTAAGACATATTGAATTATCTCCTTTTCTAAGCTTGTGATTCAATGTGAAAACAACGTTGCTCATCTTTAACTTAGTTATGGCATAAGGTTTGCGCCATCCTTCTCAATTTCTTCCCATTTTTCGTCAGATAAACCTGTGGAAAAATGGTTACGTGCATTATCATTTCTGAAAAACCCGTATTTGCTGATTACATGGCACGCCTGTCAAGGAACGAGCGCGGGTAACTATCGTGTCCACGTCCACTCAATAGAGCTGTCAGTGGAACACGGACTTTTTCCGCTGTAAACATGGGAGAAGTTTCTGGAGACCTAGATTAGCGTCTGCTTGATACGGGGCACGATGCGATTGCATTATTGTTGATGATTCTTACCGGAAAGTATCCTGAAGACGACAGCATATCCATGAATGTCGTCTTTGGTGAGAGCCCCCAGATCCAACGTATTCGCTCCCACGGAGCAGGAAAGATAGGCAGCAACTCTGAGAAACTCACAATCAGCTCGTGTTATTGGCTGCTTAATCAGAAACTTGGTCTGGTCATTTTTCAACGCGGTTTCAAACTATTGAAAAGAATTTCTAAATGTTAGCGATGATCAGGCTCCGTTTGTTCGAAGGGTGGATAACCCTATCGTTAGAGCAAATTTCTATCCGGTGCAGTAGCAACAGCAATAGCGCAGTACTTTTAGGTAACACTTATCTACTGGATAGCAATTTATCCATTGGATGGTGTTTTCCGCTCTTTGAACAACAAGGCTCAGATCAATAGTCGAACTAAGATTGTAGTTGACATAATAGATCGAAACGTTTGATCGACTTAATATATAAATAGCTCATTCAGACAATCGTCTTTCCAAAGCCGCTGCTAGAAAACCATGAAACTTTTCGGTACACAGTTGTGTGTAATCTATGTGGCGATGCCAGCATCAATCGGAAAACAAAGAGCAGTTTTTGGTAGCAAGCAGCCAGGCTGGTTTAAAGACAGAGAATTCAGGCGTCAGGCACAAAAAAAAATCACAAGCAAAGAGCAAACGGACTAACAGAAAGACAATCCTTTTCAAAGGATCCCACTTACAATCTGATGGTACTCGTAAGGCAATTAAATACATTGAAATGAATGTATAAGGTCGACTTACCCAGATCAGGTACTTCTCTACAAGCGCTTTACACTCTTCTCTATTCTTTGTTGGTAGAAGCACTTTGGTAAGTATAAGATCAAGTTTCTTGATATCTTCTGGATTAAGTTCATCTGGTTGGAGAAAAATAGCGTCCTTGAAATTCTGTTACAGTCCACCGTGCTATGTCAGGTTTATCCCACTTAATGATAAAAATATGGTAAAAAAAAATGGGATATGTTGTTTCTCAGATGAGTATGATCTCTACTCTGAGATCTTCCTATGAAACAACGGGGGGAACGCAAATATGAGTTGTTTTTTCAAAGATCGAGCCGTTTTGCGAAAATGGCCTTTTGTTAAGTTAAGCTGTGTAAGGGCTCAATTTCGTCCGATAACAACAGTTAAGATAAGTCTGTTTCTCGCAGAGTATAAAGATGATGCTTCAACATTTTACATGTAATTGGAGTTTCGCTAAGTAATTTAACTCAAATGTCACCCAGTCTCGATGTCAAACTTGCCTTGAAGTCATCAGGCCCCTGATCTATATGTGAAAATGACAGAAATCTGTGTATCTAACACTCTTACCAGGTAAATCAGTCTGATCTTCTGAGTATATTTTCACGTAGGTACTATCATAATCCGGGTCTTCTTCGGTAGGATCGCCGCCGAACATGTCCCTGCAAACTGTTTTACCAACGTATTCTCCTTTCCGGATTTCCAGTCTGTTTTCATCCTTTAGGTAATCAACATGGCAACACTTGAAGAGGATCGGTGCAGCGGAGTTTCTGGATGCCACCTCTGGAGGAAGAAATGTGCTGTAGAAGCGAGCATGTACTTTTCCAGCTGGAATAAAATATCTGATGAAGGAATTTTCCGCTATTGGTGGCACTTCGCTATTGAATTCGGCCTCGGTCTGAAATAAGATCAACACAAACATATCTTTCGATGAGTTGGCAAATTTGCTAAACACTCCGTCAGAAATTCAGCTGTTTGAAGTGTGCAGAAAGGGGTCATTTCTCCAATGCCGATATTTACCTCTTGCTTTCTCTCTCCTTCAAGTTGAAATTTCTCGCTTGAAATCACAGATGTAATCAGAAACAGTTCATCGCTTTTAAATCCTTTCATTTTGTTGTGATCTAAAGGCGTATTTGCGAGTATTCCACGGAGATCTGGATCGTCAATGTATTTCTGGCTCAATCTACCCAGTTTTAGAACTCCTTGATCACCACTGATCTTAATGGTTCCCTCCAGATATCCTGAGACACCCATACTGTACGCCTTAGCACTAACGGGGTAAATAAAAAGCAAGAACTAGTAGCGGCTTATTCAATCAGTAATCGACATCTTCCGTTGGAGGTCTGACTAGCGTAATAACACCATGCGAATATTGGGGAACGTAAAAGTTTATTTGTGTGCTTTTCAAGTATTTCGAACAAAACACCAACAAATGACTAACGAGCAGAGGAACGAAGAGCAAAACCAGTGTTCACAAAATGGAGTCTCAATGGGGTGATGACTTTTACGGCTAACTGTCAAAATTTTGCCATTTTACAACCAACGGATACAATTTGTCCATTCTACGTCTAACGGTTGAACTTTAGGGCCCTTTTACGGCTAACAATTAACCCATTGATACTATCACAATGGCATGGATCAACCTCTCTATCAATGATTTACCTGTTACCCATATCGATGGTCGGTTTGGACTGAAACATTTCCTCTTTGACTTGAGATTCCAAGGAATCACGGAACACCTTAACTATTTCGTCATTTTCAACATATTTCGCCATTTCCGCAAGGACTATGATTTCATGTTTTCCGCGTGGTCGCTTCCATATTGGCCGAGACCTTTTTACAGCAAGCGCTAGTGGCTGTATTTTCTCAGATTCTCCATGAAGAATGGGATAGTATCTATGGCTAAAGTTCTCCTGAGCAAACTTTCGTAGTCCTTCTTCTAACATCTGGAAACAAATCAAATAAAATCATGTCTTACTTGCGATTTCTCTTTCCGTGAACCGTCTCTCTTCTTACTTGTTTAGTTTCTTATTTATGTTATATTTATATATATCAGGAACAAAAAGACCAGTCCAGCGAACGCCGAAGTTCTGTATACCTCGACATTAGTCACGTTTTCTTTGCAAAGTTATCCGTCGAACAGGAAAGAGCGAAGTGCATTAATTTTGTTTCTTTCTGTGGGCCGAATCTCTAGAAAGCCAGAGTCACAACATTATTAATAGATTTGCAGCTGTGAAGATATAGAAAACAAAAGTTCGTCATCTCCTACTCTACTTCCTGATAACAATACTTCTGCCTCATTTGCCAAAGACTATACACGTGTCAGGAGCCAAATTTTCTGGTATGACGTACAAGTGGATAAAGCAGCACAACAAACGGCGTCACTAGTTGAAACTGAGAATGCTATTGATAGTTTTTTTATGGTATTCTTGTTCCGTATGTGCAACTAGTGTATTTCGTGCTACATTCTCACTCCGTGAAGGAAAATTGCGATCATTCCAACTCAAAGATTGAGGTACCAATTAATGTTTGTGCTAATTAATGCAGCACATGCGCATCAAAATTATTTCATGTTGATTTTTTTAGAGTCCTCTTACATCCGTCGAAACTAAAATGTATCACCCCTATTTACTATTATATGTAGTTCTGGCATGTTTAGCGCGTGGTGAAGGCATTTCCAAAAATATCCCAGATGCACAGCAATTTAACGACATTGCTGACACATACTTCCGCAATAACATAATCCCGGCAACAATATCCGTATGCTCATTTCTCATTTCGATGATCTACTATCGAATCGATGCAATTACGTCTTCATCTTCATTTTCTCACACTGCAAACCACGAACGGCAAACTGGATTAAATGGAAATGAAAATACAACTTTTTCATTTTCGTCAGCGAACATTTTTCTCAAGAAGAACAACACTTACCTTCGAAAAATATGTTTCATTTAACGTGCGCAACAAATTATCAGTAGATTGATAAATAGATAAAACGCCAAACCATATAACTGACCAGGAAACGTATCTAAAGAGCGTAAACATGCAAACATGCAAGAACGGTAAAACCTTAACTAGGAAAAAAAGACAAACAATAAATGAAATAAATTTTGCGGACTGCAATGCTGGTAAAAGCAAATGTTATTTTCAGGCTTTGTCTCTGCATTTGCTTAAATCAAAGTCCACCTACGAGGATCTTTTCTTTGCTTGATTTTTATGCGAAGGTCCAATGAAATTCATTTAATTTCGAGCTGTTTTCAAATTCCCCTGACTCGCTCCTCACATGTGGTTTCGTAGCTCAGTTCGTAGTTAGGGGAGGAACGGGTTGGAATACCTTCCAAGAAGGAAATGCGGACGAACACAAATGCAACAAAAGGTTAACAGCTTAACTGAGAGGGTAGGTTAACAGGAAATCTTGAGGAACAAAAGAAAGATATCGCCAAGATATCAGCGTATATGATTTGAATTCGAGACCTTTTGACGCCAATTCCAGCAAGCTTCAACAAACTCAGCACAGTTCAAATTCCTTCAACTTTCCTCTTTTTGTAAACACTACGGCTATAACCCTACTGAATGAGCCGAGTTTTTAACAAACCACGTTTGTCGTTGAAATATTGCGAATGATCTTATAAATGGAAATTATTAGAATTTAAAATGAGAACAAATAGTTGCATAGTTGAAATCAAAATAATAGTTGATAAAATATGGGAAAAGAAAGAAAAACGACCTACCCTTTGCAACAAAATAATTGTGTTCAATGTTGTTTTGATCTTAATGACACCAACGAAAGTTATGGTGCGTTAATTCATTCTTCCATGGCCTCCCGCTTCGTATATTTAAATCCGACAAGCTGTATTTATCTGACAACAAGACTAATTTCGGTTTCTTCAATGACGTTTGCTACCACAGGCCTCCCGATCGTGGAATTTGAGGCTTCTTGTTTTCTTTCTTGTTTTGTTTTTTGTTTGTTTGTTTTTTGCGATGTTTAAAATAAAATGTATTCATTTGCACTTTTGGTGATGTTTTTGAGAGAGAATCGATTTTCTCTTAACTAAATTGAGACAATTTCGCTTTTTTGGTATGCGCGGGTAACTTCATTCGTTCACAGATTCAAAATATTTTTCAGCTTAGCGACCGCGACTTCGGCACTTGCGAGGGTGAGGGCTGATTCGTTGTGGAAGTCCGATGTGTATCGTATTCCCCAGAAACCATCAGAGCGTTTCTCTTTTATTAAACTTACGACATCCGTGAAAACTGGTCGTATGCCTTAGAATGGTAATATATTCGCTTGAACAGTCATCTTTGTCGTTTCTTTAAAATCAAATGAGCGGTCGAGTTTTTGGTCGTTTCGTTCAGATTTCAATGTAAGGTTGAAAAGTTGTTTTCACAGCTACCCGCACAAGAGTTCTTTTCAGAGGTATCTTTATCTTGAATAAGTATTAGTTCGCTTTTGGGGAACTTATTAGCCTACTCGTGAAAAAAGCTGAAGTTTGATTTTCCAGTGTTTCACTTGGTTTTAAAACGAGAGGTATCTGGAAAGAAAAGTCGATGGAATTATATTTAAGTCCCCTGGAACGAAGGGGAAAGGGGGAGAAGTGGGGATTTCGAACTTAGATTGCTCTTAGATGGATTAATAAAAGGGGTAAGTCTCTAAGGAAACTGTAGTGCTGCGTCGGTGGGAGAGTAAAACAGGCTAGGGTAATTTAGCATTATCAACCGAGTTGATAACGTAAATCGGCCACCGTAAAGTGTTTAAAAGCTGAGGTTTCGAGCGTTAGCCCTTCGTCAAAGCCCTTCCCTAATCGCTCTGACGAAGGGCTAACGCTCGAAACGTCAGCTTTTAAACTCATTACGGAAGCTAATTTACGTTATCAACTCAATTGATAATACTAAACTACCCTGTTTTTAGATAGGATGCGTATCTGGGAGGAGAGCCACCAAAAAGGGGAAGGAGAAGTTATTGAAAACAAACTGAAGGCCAAAGAACAGCTTGTCTCTAAAGCGGAGTGTTGACGGCAACCGCGGTAAAGAAGTCAGTAGGAGGCTCTCTTCAACTAACGAGGATTCCTTGCAGGATCAATAAGAACAAAGAAATAAATACGTTTTCCATTGAATATATTTTGTTTTTCGACATTCATGAATATTCATAAATTTCGTTGGCGGCACTGGTTTTCAGTCGTATCGCATGAATCTGTCAAAACGTCAGCCTACATGATCACTTTTGGGAAACCAGCTTCTGTTGACTATAGGGCAAAGCATGCTTCTCATTGATTGAAAGATAATGAGTGCGGTTAATTCTGGTGTCGGTGTCCACTCAATAGAGGTGTCCGCTGAACACACACTCATTGGAATAGGGGGAGACATTTTTCGAGACTTTTGCTGACAGCACAATTGAAATTGTTTTATTGCCGACAAGGAGCTTGAGGACGACAACAGAACTGACTTCCCCTCGTCGCTAAAAATATTAAGTTCTTTAAAAAAAGGTTTGTCGTCAAACCCCAATTTTGAACTATTTTCGACTTACTCAAAAGGATCAAATAAAATCGGCGTTCTACAGAACTGCTCGGTGAAACGGGTTTTCTTTTCAAATGAAGCACATTTCGATTGAGGTTCTTAGAACCAAAACCAAAGTGATCACATTAGTCACTCAAAAAAAGTCTTGAAAGGCCAATGAGGTCTTAATGAGCAAACTTACTGAAGCGCGGGAAAACGCAAGTGACCCAATTGCATTTCTCTTAATTTAGGACCAACTACTTAACGAAGTAAAGAAAAAAACGGAACAATCCCGTAATTGTTTCGACATTCAGTTGAAAACTCTTCTAAAAGAGTGTACACCACAGTTTACCCATTTCAAAGAGATGGGCCTGCCGCCTTTAAGGTTATAGTTTTTAATTCCTCGCCACCTTTGTCAATGCTCGTTTTTTTCCGTTTATTTTTAAATACTTGGTGTCTTCATACTACCATGTTACTTCCTTTATCCGTTTAAATCTCATTTTCCTTGAGTCAAAAATTTGCAGCGTAAATCACTTAATAAGCTTCTGATTCAATGTAAAACATGCAAAAGCAACATTGCTCAATTCTAAGTGAGTCATGGGTCAAGGTTTTACGCCATCCTTCTCAATTGCTTCCCACGTTTCGTCCGATAAACCTGTGGAAAAAGTTAGCGTTCGTGATCACTTCTAAAAAAAACCTACATTAGTTGATTATGTGGTTGATACGCTATGTTACAGTCAATGATAAAAAAGTTTCAAGTGACTAGCGCAGTTAATAGGGGTGTCCGCAGTTATCTGCAGAACAAAGACTCGTTTTGTTGTAAACATGGCAAAAATGTTTCGAGACTTGGATTAAGGTTTACATACTAACGGGCATGGTAAAATTGCACCATTACTGGTAGTTCAAGTGAAACTGTTCTCTTACCGAAAAGGTTCCTGAGGACAACAGCATATCCATGAATGTCGTCTTCGGTGAGAGCCTCCAGATCCAACGCATTCGTTTCCTCATCACAGGAAATATTGGCAATTCTGAGAAACTCCCTATCACCTGGAATTATTGGCTCCGGAACCAGAAACCTGTTTTGACCTGTTTTTAAAGCTGTTTCAAACTAATGACCAAAAAACGAGAGAAAATCAATATTCTTTTGCCAACAAGTCTAAATGTTAGCAACGATCAGATCAACTGTCAATGTAGGAGTGTAAGTGATATAATAACTCGAAACTTTTGATCGCCTGATTATGAATATATTATTTAGCGAATCGTCTCTTTAGAGTGATTGTCCGTAAATCCTGAAATTTTTTCAATAAACTTTTATGTAGTTATATATTCTTTATGGCAATGTAAGCATCGATCGAGAACCGAAAAAAAGGTTACCAAAATCGACAGACAGACGCAAGCAGGTAGCCAGGCTTGTTTGCAGAGAGAGACTTCAAGGCATCAGAAACACAGCGAAAAGAGAATCACAGATAAAGAGTAGACAGAACAACAGAGAGAAAGCCAGACGAAACAGGACATGCGATCGACTTCAAACGATCCTTCATTCAATTTAATGGCTATTCGCAAGGCGACTCGGTGTATTGAAACCTTATGCTTAAGGTCAACTTACCCAATACAGATACTTCTTAACGAGTGCCTTACGCTGTTCTCTATCTTTGATTGGTAGAAGCACTTTGTTTAGTATAGGGTCAAGTCTCTTGAAATCTTCTGTACTAAGAGGATCTGGTGGAGGAAAAATGGCATTCCTGAAATTCGGTCACACTACACCGTGCTACGTTAGGATTTTTTTGCTCAATGTGAAAAAATCGCAGTGACGGTGGAAACTTTTACTTTCTCAGACGAGCACGACTTATGGTTCAAAATATTCCTATAGAACAATGAAACAGTGGGAAAGCAAACTTGCTTAAAGTTTAACAGGAAGAAGCAATATTCTTTAATACCATAAAACGAACCCTACGGCAAAAAAAAGTACAGACACGTTAGCAGTTCAACATTTCAGTAGGGTAAGAGCTCAGTTTCGTCCAATAAAAACAGTTCAGCGATGTCTTTAGCTCTAAAAGTACAAAATGCTTCACAAAGAATGTATTTCTATACCATTTAACTCAAAACTTGATCTTAAATCTTTTCCTCTTTGTCGACTGGGAACTCGCCTTAGAGTCGTTAAGTCCCAGATCTATTTGTAAAAATGAACGCAGCCCTATTATCAACCACTCTTACCTGTTAGGTTAGTCTCATCTGAATATATTTCCACGTAGGTGCTATCATAATCCGGGTCCTCTTTGGTAGAATAGCCGCCAAACACGTCCTTGGTAACTGTTTTACCAACATATTCTCCTTTCCGGATTTCCAGTCTGTTTTCATCCTTTAGGTAATCAACATGGCAACACTTGAAGAGGATCGGCGCTGCGGAGGTTCTGGATGCCATCTCTGGAGGACAAAATGAGCTGAAGTAGCTAGAATGCACTTTTCTGCGTGGAAAAAAATAGCTGGAGATGGGACTCGCCGTTTGCGAAGGCAATTCACCATTAACTTCAGTCTCGATCTGCAATAAAATGTCCCTTTTGATGAGTAAGTGCATCACTTCGTCTGAAATTTAGCAATTTGGGTTGTGAGGGAAGGGTCATTTTTCAAAATAAAGTGTTTTCTCGGATGGAAGCTCTCTCAACTCGGGGTAGAATCAACGTCTTCATCTCGTAAAACTCTCAGTCACTATAATCAACCGAGGACCGTCTTTACTTGCTGCATAAATCCTGAGTATCTGGTAACTATTTGAGAGTAGGAAGATTTTTTACCTTGTAGCGAAATAAAGCCTTTTGACTTTTCCTTTTTTCTAAAAAATACGGGGATGGAGGAGTAGGGCCTAGGATCTCCACAGCAACAAACTGCTGCTTGAAATTGATTGACGGGGAAAATGTTTGTTGTCAATATCATGCATGCATTATTCGGACATGAATTGACCTCATTTTCAAAGCAAAATGGTAGTTAACGGAAAGGTTGCAGCCCTTTTTAGCATCGTTTTTTTATCAAATACTGATAAATACCTTTTCGTTTCTCTCTCCTTCAAGTTGAAATTTCTCGCTGGAAATTACAGACGTTACTAAAAACAGTTCATTCCCTTCAAAGCCTTTCATTTTGTTGTAATCTAAAGGTGTCTTTGCAAGTATTCCACGGAGATCTGGGTCGTCAATGTATTTCTGGCTCAGTGCACCCAGTTTTAGAATTTTTTGATCACCACTGATCTTGATGGTTGCATGCAGATATCCTGAAACACTTGTACTGCACTCCTGAGCTCTACTGGGATAAATGAAAAGTTAGATAGCGAATTTAAGTCTTACTCAATCTGTAGTTAAAATCGGCCTCAGAAGGTTTGACCGGAATGCCAATGTTGGGGAACATAACGCTGTAGAGCAAGTTTTTTAAGTATCTCGAACAGATACCAACGGAAAAACTAAATAGTAGAGGAACTTGGAGCAAAACCAGTGTTAGGTTTCTACATGACCTTTGAACCTCTCTATCGATGATTTACCTGTTACCCATATCAATGGTCGGTTTGGACTGAAACATTTCCTTTTTGACTTGAGATTCCAAGAAATCACGCAACACTTTAGCTTCTCTGTCACCTTGAACATATTTCGCCATTTCTGAAAGGACTATGATTTCATGTTTTGCGCGTGGTCGCTTCCATAATGACCGAGTCCTTTTTACAGCAAGCGTTAGTGGCTGTATTTTCTCAGACTCTCCATGAAGAATAGGATAGTATCTATGGCTAAAGTTCTCCTGAGCAAACTTTCGTAGTCTTTCTTCTAACATCTGGAAACAAGTCAAATAAAATCACGTCTTACTTGCGACTTCTATTTTTGCGAACCGTCTCTTAAGCTTTCTTATTTGTGAAGTATTACACGATTGCATTGGTTACAAACTGGTAAGTCTAGTGAACATTCAAATCCTATATACCTTGACATTAGTTACGATTTTTGTACAGAGTTATCCTTTGAAGAAAAAATAGCAAGGTTTATGTATAATATTTCATGCCGTGCAAGCCGGAGTCACTGTATTATCAACAGATTTTCAACTTGAAGATAAAGTAAACAAAAATTCGTCAAAACCTACTTTAATTCCTAATAAAAATTATTTTGCCGCATTTGCAAGGACAGTAAACGGGTTAAGAGCCAAATATTCTAGTATGACATGAGTGTGGATCAAACTTCACAACAGACCGAGTGAGTATCTGGAAATGAGACTGCTATTAAAAGTCTTTATAGAATTCTTGTTCTGCACATGCGAATAGTGTGTTAAATCTAAATTTTCATTCTCAGAAGGTATATTCAGATCATTGCAATTCATTCATCGTTATTTCCAAGGGCTCATTTGAATTGCCAGTTAGTGTTTGTGTAAACGAACGAAACGCATGCGCATTAAGATCATTTCTTTCAATGTATAAAAAGAACAGCAAATTTGATTAAAATAGAAATGAAAACATAACTTTTTCATTTTCGTCAGCGGAAGATCTTTCTCTAGAAGAACAACACCGAGCTCTAAGAGATTTATAGATTAATACAGCACCAAACTATTAATGTTTTAATCATCCAATGTGTATGTGTAACCAAAGAATTGAACACAAGCAAAAATAAATAAAAGAATTTAAATCCTAACAGTGAAGAGAAAGACCACTTGGCTATCTGCGGAAAACGCACAAAAAACCTTGAAACTTCAAATTGACAAACAAGGAAAAATTCGCCAAGAATCAGCGTAAACGACTTGAATTCCAGACCCCTGGTTATAATTCCGGCAAAATTGCCATGAATTCAGCGTAGTACAGTTGAAATTCTTTCTAGTTTTCTAAGCGCTATGACCGTACTGAATACACCGAGAACTTTGACGCTCCAGGAACTTTAATACATCAATTTCGTCATTGAAAATATTATGAACGATATTGTAAATAGTCATCTATAGACTTTCAAATACTATAAAATAATTGGATAGCTGGAATCAGAGCAGTGTTTGTTCAAGTATGGAAAAGGAATAAAAACTACATACCGTCTGAAACAAAATCGTGTTGTTAAATACTGTTTTGATCCCAGCTGACAAAACCTTTAAGTTCTGATGCGTTAATTCACGCCAACATTGACTCTCACTTCACGTATTTAAATCGGACAAGCTGTACCGATATCATGGTATGATTAATTTCGGTTTCTTTAATGATGTACTTCATGATCTTTGGGCAGGAAATGGTTTGGGGTGGAGAACCCACCAGGGAGGGGTGGGCAGGGGAATTTGTTCAAGAATAAATGAAGGCCCACGAGCAACTCGTCGGTTTTTTATTCCTATTTCACCCAGATTTGAGTATTATATGAATGTGGTTGAAAACTTTTGATACTTCAAACGAAAAAAGTGCTAACTCTCCAAGTGAGGAGGGGCTCAGCAAAGAGGGAAGGTAATGAGAGTGTTAACGGCAACCACGATAAGGACACCAATAGTTGGCATTTTTAACGAGTGAAAATAACTTACGGGATCGAAATAAAAAAAAAAGTACGTTGGTCGTCAAATTGTTTTATTTCTTGGCTCATACTTTTCGTTGCGCACTGGTTTTTGCAATCCTCTTTTGAGGAGATGCTTACGGTTATGATAGACCATGTACAAGATGTTTGAACGCGATTTATGGAAACTGGGTCGAGTGCATGAAGTTGAGGCTCTTTGGCGGACTTCCCGGGAAAAATAAATAGAAAGGCAAAGAAATTTTTCTGTGGAGTGTTAAAACAATTCAAGTTCAGCTTTTCTTGTCTTTTCATACACATCGACCGGAAATGTTAAATTACGAGCGAGAAGTTGACTCTTCAAT